ACAAATCTTCACAATCTATTTATCTGGATTTTAACTTCCAAAGTCTAAGTGTTTCCTTCACAGAGTTAACATATTTGATATTGTTATGACTGGTGGTCGACTGTTATGACTGTGTCACCAATTGTTATATCTGTCGTTGCAATCGTTTATCACTTATAATTATAAGGCGAGGAAAAACTACAGTTCCCATGACGCGAAATTACGAAGACAAAGACTGGTATAAGTGAAGATTTGTTAATCCCAAAACACGAAGACGACGACCCTAGTCAAAAATACACTCATTTATATATTGATTCTTACACCCAGTTTGATTGATAATTAGAATAAAATGACATATATGAACAATACTTACAGCTATGACAAATCACATGCTGCGTGTCATGTTGAGCATAGTTCAGGTCAATTGAATACAATAATATCGTACATTATACAGAATAAAGAGTCATACGGGAAAACAAAATCTTCATATCACGCTTACTACGATACATGTAAACGAGCCTATAGCATTTCTATTCTTTAGCAAGAATATTCATATGGATTATTGAATACAAATCCAGTGATTTATATTCTTGATTTTAATCAGTTATCAATATAGGTAGATCATCAAGCGGACACTGATGCTGGCAGTCTGACGTTAAAGGTACATCAGCTCTATAGTTACTGCTTCTCACTAGAACACGTCATGTATTTTTCGCAAAGCAAGTCTTACATAATATATACATAAATATTTGATTTCTTAATATTTATTCAATTTCAAAACGGTTCTTATCATCAACACCAGTCTAAATATTATTTTATGATAGTTTTCTTTAAAATGTCCATAACCTTTAAGTAGTAAGACTATTATAATAAACAACAATAAATTCTTTTATCTAGAGTAACTTGACTATTTCGTTAAAGCATACGTACAACATGTGAATTACACTTTTTCTGTTGGAAGCCGAAATGTAATTAAGAATCTTCTTGATCATTAAAATGTCGATATCTAATCAGGATTAATGGAAAGTAATTAGAACCAACCTAATCGTTCTATTATAGAATATATATTATAGAACTGTATAGAATTTAGCCCTACACAACTTAATTTTACTCTACTTATACAAAATTGTGTCGTTTAACCTCATACAAAATGTATACTCTAACGACAAGTGAATGAATATGCATTCGACTGATTAGTTCCATTGAATACCTGTATTACTCATTGAAGAAATTTTGCTGTAAATTTTAAAAAATCTAGCTTTAAATTATATGAGATTAGTTACAGCTTCTAGATAACAAATAACTTTAAAAGTGACCATATCTACCCTAGCTCACTTTGTATACAGTTGAAGGGAAAAAGAAGCAAATAATACAACAAAAAAACAAGTTAAGGTTTTCGAACAAAATGAGCTATCTAGTGTTAAGTTTTCAAACCGCCATGAATTCACCCTTATAATGTAAAAATAACTCAAATTTTATTGAATAGCAAAGTCATGTGCGTCTGACTCATGTAATAATTTAACCGGTTCCAATGAATTATTATTATTTCTTAAATAGCATTGGCATTTCAAAGTTATTCATTATATTTTCAAGGGAATTTTTGTTGTTTCTATGCTTAATTATTAATAAGAGTAATAAAATATGTGTTTATTTAGTTATTTAAACAGCATAAACAACAAACTTTAGTCAGTATATAAGATTTGGCAAAATGACATAAAGTGTAAAATGATATTATCAGACTAAAATATATATTTTGTATATTAGTTATTTTTGGCGTGATATACTTTCTTGTATTAAAAGGCTTATAATAGATAAGTGTACAGACCAAATCAAATCATACATAACAAGATATAAATAAATGTTGAACTATGAATTCATCTAAATCTTTTTGTTTGTATTTTAAACCAAAATACTCATTGAGACATAAGTAGTTGAATAAATATGTATTCTTCCAGTGATCTCATCATAAAAATTTCAATTACATAATGAAGATAAAAATGCATCCATTAAGTTTGAGGTGTTTCAAATTCATTGTGATGATGAATTTGTTTGTTTCAATTGAATAATTAGTTTTTACAATATTTTCTATTATTAGATTCCTTATATGCCAACCTATAGCGCATTTTTAATTTTTATCCGCTCCAAGTGAGTTCAAGAATACTCTCATCCGTGGTTGTGTAGGGGCAACACCTCATATAAGCGAAGTATACAAGTAGAAAAATCATTGAAAATTATTCATTCGACTGAGTCAAACTAAACATTCGTAACAACCTATGTAGTGGATACGCAACTATTGGAACCAGAGAATTTCCTTTTCTCTTCCCCCATGATAATAATAATATGATAATAATTTTAATAATAATCACCCTATTCAGCACCTAAGTTTGATTAAAGTGGATAACTTGCAGCACAAATCGTGCAATATCCTAACTTATATTTACTGAACTTCACTTCCGCAATATCATGGTAAACAGTTTAGTTCTGTAACTATGATTCTTTGTCCAGTCTCTATGCCAGTTTTGAATTATCATTTGAGGTCCTGTAGCAGTCACGTTGCTATCCTTTACACACATATAATACCTATTGTGTTTTTACTAACTTGTTATCCTGATCGAGCCATTATTATCAAATATACATTATTATTTTAAAGTTGAAAATATATTTGCGAATGCAGAACCTCAATATTTAGATCCCCAGAAAGCTATGTTTCTTTCCTAAACCATGCTATCTTGTTTAAAATTCCATTTCTGAGTAACAAAACTCCACTAGGAGACAAAAATAGATTTATCTCATTTTTTCAGTGGATATAATCTGTTTGTTTGGTAGTTTTGGGTAAATTTGCATTTTAAAATGCAGAATTAGTTGATGATAGACCACACTGTTTCTCACATTAGAACCAAATCATTACTAGTTAAGATCAAAGAAGATACGTTTAATATCCTTTGTCTTTGTTTAAACCCCCACGACGAGTAACAGGCGTAAGTAAGTAAGTCTTTGTTTGAGACAAAATCAGTCGGCTCCATTTGACTATAAGTTAACTTGGGCAAAACTTTATTTATTACCTAAAGACATCTGAGATCGAGATATTCTACACCATTAATTAAAATGGAGGTACTTCATAAAATATATATAAATTTCAAGTGAAATTGTGTTGTTAACACGCAAAAACCCCATAGAGAATTGTATTTATCAGTTTTATGTCCAGACAATTAGATGAAGTAATAACACGTGAGCATAATGCTGTGACTTTATTTGGCGATTAGCCCTCAAATACTGTTGATAATGTTATTATTCATATTTTTAAAACATTTAGTTAGGGTATGATGGTTACATTTGGTCTACTGTATTATCAGCGATCATTATTTATGAATTACAAAGCAATTTAAGAGAAAGTAAATGACTGGTGTTAGAGATATTTCAAAGGCTACAAAATGTGATACTAATATCATATGTGACTGAAAGACTATTTTTCAATGGATTCTGTGTTTTGGTTTTACTTTAAACCCCACAACTTGTTAAACTGAGCATCATTTAGTGAATAAATAGGAGGACAAAAACTTGTCTTCTGCTCTTAACTGCATTAATACACATCTTAACTTAGTCTATACTATTACATAAAAAATGTTAGTTATAATCACTTGAAAATGTACATCCGTGGCTAATGACTTCGTTAGATCCATGGAACAACTGAACGTAAAATAACAACATACTATTATCTGGGAGTCTTAACAATAGCTTTGGTGTTGACTTCACCTGAAAAGTATTTTTTACGCGATGTATAAATAAACAGTTTATGGGGGATTGTTTTCTTTTTACTTGTAAATGTTGTATATATATAAAGTTTCATACTTCAAAGCATAAAAGCAGTGTAAAATGTAAATGTATTCACTGCTTTTGTTAGTCATAACAGCTCTTGACTATAGCCTGAAAGCAATGATTTTAGGAAAAATAGTAGGTAGCGTTTACGTTCGTATGATTATTGTTGAATATCGTTTGTCTTCAAGCAGACAGAGTGACAGGTACGAACCTAGGTTGCAAAGTATCACTATTGGCTAGATAAGTACTTCAAAAGGACCCACTTGCCGGGAGTTTCAAAAGCAATGTCTTTATTAAAGCTCAGAAGAGAATACAAAACAAATATGAGTCTTTCATATCTACAAAGCGAGAGCTTTCTCATAAACTAACGATAATTAATGAGAAACGACACAGTTTCAAAGAAATGTACTCGAACGACGACCATATATCTGGGCAAACGCCGAAGAGATCCCTTGACTAGCATCTCATGAACTCTTGTCAATAATCAGGTGGGAAATACATATAATTTATTTTGATTTGTAATTTTAGAGAACAGAACAATCATGATACACATTTCTGTAACTAAAGAATACACCTATGTCGTATAAAAAGAACCAACACGCTAACATCTGGCGCAATGGATACATCAACAATAATCAGCCTACAGAAGTTTATTAGGCTTCCGACTCACTAATAACTAAAACTACATAGACGGTTTATTTTCAAAATATGCGATGTTAAGGTCAATGACTTCTCTAAGACCTTGTAAAGAGAAAACACACCATTTAATGAGACGATCTAACAATGCAGCGAAAAATGAATAAATAACAGGTTAATTTTTGAGTTAAGTTTAAATTATCACTGATGAAACAGTGATACCTTTCCAACGTTCACTACCAGTCCATACAGAGATGTGCGATGACACGTTATGAGATATTTCTATATTACTTTATGTAAATTAGATCATTTAAACAGTAGTCTCGTTAAATATACTTTTGTATATGTGGTATTGAGAATAATAACGGACGTTTTGGACACTTTATTTTTAGTGAGAATATTCCTAAATAAATCTTTTCCAGATTTTCAGTTTCAACAAATCCTTTATGAAAACTTCCAAATAGGAATCAGCAGAGAATAAATAAATTTCACGAAAACATCAGTGATTCGAATTTATTATAAACCAAAACAAACTTCATGTTATTAAGAGTGAAACCTTCACGATTTACCTGCGTTTCCTTTCACTTCGACTGAGAAATTGTGGTCTTTAACGTGTAAAGTTTGGTTTTGAAGTCCATTTAAGTCCACATTTATTGGAGCCAGTGATTCGTCAAGCCTCATTGACATTGTGTTCAAGTTGATTGGGGATTGCTTTGTTCCTCCAGCATTAGGAAAGCGTAACACCCATGTATGAGGGCCTTAATATATATTTATAGTAAAACTTTTCTTTACCATTTTTCTCTCCATAGTCATATGACATCTTTTGTGCTTAACGTGCGAGACGTTTTCGGGGAACGAAAAGCCATACTAACCTATAGCTTATTAAATACGTCCAAAATGACCTTGTAACAAAAATAGCTGACTAAAACACAACAGGGGTTATTCTCATTTCGGCATGAAGAATACGTTAAGCTATGGGTTCTTTTGCCCATGTCAGGTGTTATTGAGTATTTTGAATATCTCTGTTTATAAGCTGTGAACAGCATTTTTGTCGCCACTTGTCAATTTTCGTGTTTGTGCTTTAATCCCAGTTTATTAGTATTTTGATATAGCTACTGTTAGCTATCTGGGTGGATGATAAGTCAGGTTTGATGTGGCTATTTGTATTGGAATTCAAGTAAGTGAAGTGCACTAATTGACACTGATAGCCGGGTGCTCACATGGTGATTGTCACAAACAGTTACGCATTAAAACTATCGGTATGCCTCCCATGAAATTACAATGAAGACAAAAATAACAATCATGCAAGAATTTATTGATGCCTCATTACTGATGGTAAAGGATGAACAACATTCGCTGCACAAAAACAAGTTTACAAGTTCTATGTATAGTTAAGTTAAAGTACAACTGAAAAGACCTTCTTATGGTAAATAGAGTTCCTATCACGTCCCCACACCTTCCTATATTCCGAGATATGATTTCTCCGTAAACTAGACCACACGAAAATAAGCATTGGAGAAACTGGAGTTCTAACAAGTTATTGACAGTTCTTAACTAATAGTTGTCGACTTTTCTCCTCACAATCATCACTAACCGCTTACCATATTTATCCACAATCTGTTGTTAGTTTATTTCCTGGTTTCTTTAAATCTGTACCTACTGTGTCTTTAGCGTGGAGAACGAAACGGTTCTGTTAGTATATATATGTGCTTTCCATCGACTACACTTTCTAAGAATATGAATAACTATGGGGTTTATACTTCTTAATTGGTTGAAATTACCTTTTAGAGTTCATTTTCTTATGTATGCCAGAAGCACATGAAAACAAGTATACTGGGATATAACACATATTGAACAGTCACACTCATAAAAGCTTACATCTACCTTATTAGGCCTGCTGCAATCAGTCATAAACATTCAATCACTGTCTTTATATTCCAAATAGAAAAAGCACAACCTTTTCAATTTCGTTAAAACCTCCCTCCATACAAAAATATCAAGTTGGCTAACTATTTGAAGTAATCGTAGCACCTACCGGTCCTAACATGTCTTCACCAGTTACTCTTTCCGATGTTATGGTATTCCATCGGAATAACTTGTAAATACATTTGTTTAAACGATCATTTTTCCGTACATATCTTTTTTGATGGTTCAATGACTTCACACAATTATTGGTGTTGTTAACAAAAGTCAAAACATGCACTGAACTCTGTGGCCGACATTGTTTTACAAGACATACAATACCTAGAAACATACTATCTGATTCGCATGACCGTTTGGTGAATCATTTTAAAACACTAATTTACTTTACAAAATAAATACGTTTCAAGCAATCATTCCAACAGTTTCGGCGGTTACTATTTCTCTGAAGCAATTGCTTCCTTACGCCTATTATCCCTCATGGAGGTGCATGGGCCACCCACCAGCTTTCCCCATCCAACCCTGTCCTGGACAACCCTTTTCAATTGGTCCTAGTTACTATTCATTCCCGACGCAATATGTTCCATGGTCTTTCTCTTCCCCTTCAAAATTCCAAGTTAGCGTTTGCCTCGTGATGCAGTTTGGTGATTTAGGTAATAAATGTCCTACCTACTTCCAACGATTTCTTTTACTTTCCTCTAAGGCTGGAAGTTGGTTTGTTCTATCCCACAGTAGGCTGTTGCTGATGGTGTCTGGTCAACGGATATTGTGTATCTTGCGCAGACAATTGTTCACCAATACCTCTACCTTTTTGGTGATGGTTGAGGAAGTTCTCCACGCTTCAGCCTTATATAGTAGGGCTGTCTTGATGTTCATATCAAAGATTCTGAATTTGATATTGGTTGAGAGTTGTTTTGAGTTCCACGTGTCCTTGAACTGTAGGCATGTGACCCTTGCTTTGCCAATACTCACGTTTACCTCCACATTCGATCCTCCTTGTTCATCGATCGTTTTGCCCAAGTACGTAAACGTTTCCACCTCTTCTACAGCTTCACCGTCAAGTGTGACTGGGTTGGTGTTCTCCGTGTTCTGTTTCAGGATCTTGCTTTTTTCCTTTTGTATGATAGGGCCTGCTGATGCAGAGGCTGCTGATGTACTATTTGTCTTGACCTGCATTTGTCTATGTGTATGGGATAAAAGTGCCAGGTAGTCTTTGAAGTCCAAATCATTTACTGGCATCCAACCTGTCCATATTATTACATACTTCCCCTTAGATGTGGAGGTCTTCATAACCCATTCAATCACCAGAAGAAAGAGAAACGAGGAGAGTGAGCAACCTTGTCTGACACCAATCGTCGCCTAGAATGTATCCGTCAGCTGTCCTTCATGCAAATCTCTGCAGCGCAGTTCGTCGTATGAATTCCGTATGATACTGAAGATCTTCTTAAGTATAAAGTAGTGCCAAAGAACGTTCCACAATGTTCTTCTATCCAGCTTTCAAACGTATTCTGACAGTCAAGGAAGTTGGTGCATAGTGATGAATTCCATTGAAATGATCGCTTAACAATGATCTGTAACAACTTGGGTTTATTATTTAAGAGTTGACCTCAAACAACCAAGTATATATCAAAACAATAGAGCTCAAGTTGCTTATTTCGTATAGGCATTACATTCCCTGTTATCTTATATCGAATGTTGAAAATCTTTGTGTATCTGAAGAGGTTGTAAGATTCATCTTGAATGTTTTGTGTGTGAAAATCCCTCCACGTATACACTTGTAGTTTGTTCCTATTGATTTCTTTAGTTGTACATTTTGATAGTCTTTTTGATTCTATTTGAAATGTTAATATTTGTATTTTATTATAAATTTTATTTTTCTTACGTCTTCACTAAGTTTCCATGTTTCTTCTTGAACTTCATTTATGTTGTTTTACTTGGTGCTGAGTCCTGGCAGCAGCCATATTGGTTTGTTCCTCCTTTTCATTGTGTTGCTTGCACTGACTGGAATTGTGCATTTTTGACTGTGAATTGAAGCACTCTTCTAGAATTAGAAACTCTCTGTGTTATAAAGCAATCAAATATTATCTTTTGAAAGAATCTGTGCGTGGTCTATCCAAACAGGAAATAACAACATTTATTTGTTGTGATTGGTAATTTTCTCGCATCCCTTATCAACCTCCGTATTGGTTGTAATTTAGATTTGATCACTTGAACAATTATTGGTTGGATAGCTGGGTGATCGTATTTGTTTAGATAACAATTTACATTTACATTTACAATGAGTTTCAGAACCGTCATTTTACCCAACTACTGTTTTGGTTTCAACTGGGCAAGGGTGCGTATCTAACCCACCTAGACAGTTACTCTTCAGTCCAAACCTTAGTTTGAAGTAAACACAGGTAACCTCCCGCTCCACTGTCATTAGTTAGAGACTCAATTTTGATGTTTGCGTCTATTGATCCGCGTTGTGTACATTACTCTATCTATCTATCTATCTGATGTTGTCTTGAGTATTTTTTGGAATTATTTTGCTTAAAACGAAATTTCTGACTAACTACTAACCTGTAACTTTGCACCACTTAATCTGGTATTCGTGTTTGTAGTTATCGTGTGTGTCATAGTTGCAATACTTTTGTTGTGCATGTTACATAATAGACCAAAACACGAAATAGGATACAATTCGCGGAAGAAATGCACATCTGAACTTTGAGGGCGAAACATAATAAGGATAAGTGAACATATGCTACATGAGAACAGAAGCAAACACGTACTGTGCATACAGTTTAATATGTATATTTGTGAAACAAAATAAGTGGGGATATATGTATTATAAAATGAATTAAAAAGTGAGTCATTAATGCAATTATACTGGATGGTAGAATATTAGTTTATGAAGTAATGGTTAAGAATGATGCGATGAAAAGTTTAGTTATTTGCAAAGAATTCCATCAGCCATCAATTATTATGGGTCATATATACGTGTTAAACATGAAAAGAACATGAAAACTTAATCAGTTTTGGTGTAAAACAACATACTGTGTTTTTATTAATAAAATTTAGATAGGTAAATGTGAAACATACATTGAGGTAAAAGTGGGAGAAAAAATCATTCAAAGTCCTAAAAGGTCAACGACAATGATGCTATGGTTCACACTGACGCATAATTTCCAAATCACTTTCAGAAAATTGCCTCGAAGATGATTAATTCAGTTAGCAACATAATATACACTTTCGTAAGTTCATTTAAGAAAGAGAGGAATGGAGCACAATTACTCCTAGTCCCAACACTGATAGAAGAAAACAGAAAGGTCTGTGGTAAAGGAAACGCAAGCTATATAAAATTGCATCCCCAATATGTATGTAGAACTATGGTCTACTACGATATTAGTACTGCTCTAATAATAGACCTAATCCTAAATTTGTAGATTCGTCATGATATAACTGCCTAATCTATAAGATCTTACGTGGAAGTCACACCATCGACTACGCCAACTCACTGTATCGTATCAATTACCAATACATGATGAAGAACAAGGTTAGTTTAGAGAAGGAACAATATATTTAATATGAATAGAGACCACGCCTGCATGGCCGAGCCATGCCACTCGATCAACTCCAGTCCATTCAATTCATTGTTCGCGCCTTCTCCATTTTTAGGTATTTCTCCGCGTTAAATATTGAATATCTATTTTCTGAGTAGTCTCGTGTTCACAGCTTTGTGGATTGTGTGGCTATTGTCCAATGCCACTACACTACTCTCCCACCAGAATCAACGTGATGTTGGTTCGATACCAAATTGGATGGGATCGTCGTGCGCCGAAGGTTACCAAGACTAGGAAGAATCCCCCGGGTAATGATAAGCTGAAAGATAAATCAAAAAGAAGGCGGCAGCATCTGGTCGGGAAATACATGTAATAATTTTTAAAAAAAAAAATCTGCCTTCATGCTTAACACACTTAAAATGACAATTTGGGTGAAGATTATTTG